TTTTGTGCAATAGCTATCGACCACGGTTAAAAGTGGGATCCCAAAACCTTAACCACTCATTTGGCAACCCAAACCGACATCTAATTTCGTTTTAATTGTAAAATCTAAACCCTAAACCCTAAACCCTAAATCTATTTTCTGATTTCCTATTTTTTAATTGTGTGTTTTTTTTAATTTTTTAGTATTAGTAATGACATGGCAAAACGATTGGCTATAATCTGTTGAGTGAATTTAAAGGTTCACCCATGGGTAAATCTAAGTATGGTTCTAAAATGACCTGAGATTCAAAAGTCACTCTATGCTTTGATAATCATTATACAAGTCACATTCTATTCTTTCATTTTACTTTTCTTTACCAAATCTTATTTTTCAACGTTCCTGCTCACTATTTTTTCGTTGACCCGACTAAGAAAATAATTCCAATTGTAAAATTCATTCTCTCCTTTCTAAAAAATCATCTCAACTTTATTAATGCCGGAGAAAGGTTTAGAGATACCAAAGAAAGAAAAAAAAAATTGGAAGAAAAGAAACAGAGACTAGAAAAAACAGAAAACAAGACGAGAATAAATTCTGTTTTGTAAGGTCCGTCTCTTGCGATATATGATTGATGTCGGCGTTCCTTAGTGACACTTCCACCACAATTGTGTTGTTGCTTTCAGTTCACAAATGATATATCCCAATCTTTAAAATTATTTAAAGATAATAATATTATAGTAGTCACTAATAATTGAACAACTTCGACAACAAAGATTATGACAATACTAGGAAGTAGCAAATGACAATTTTTTAAATACTGTACTTTAAAGCAAAATAAGACAAAAGAAAAAAGTAAGAGATCAGATAGATAAACTTGGAAACGATTTCACTGTAGCGAATTGTCTTGTTTAACGTATCATTTCTTTTTTCGCTCTAAGATTTGTATAAAGCTTTTTTCGTCGATTTTATTGCCATATAATCCCACACTATCGCTCCTTAATATCATGAATTTCTTACATTAATTGCACCTTACTTTCACTTGCCACTAAAAGATTGGCCTAATCGTAGCCTCATGAACACATGCAAAAAAACAATGACTGTCGTAGCCACATAACAACGATGCTAGCAAAAAAAGATTACTCATAGATAGGTGTGGACTTTTGAGAAAGATGAAATAATGAAAATGACATCTCCAATTATTTCTCTCGATTGAACGATGAGATCCTAAAGAATCTTCCATCTTATTCTCTATTTTTCTATAAGTGTCCAAAAAAGTGTGTTTTAGCCATCGGAAAAAGTCGCATAGGTATTGCCACACAATTTGGAGAAAATTAAAAAAGGAAAAGAACAAGAAAAGATATTGCCACAAAAAGCCAGAGTAAATAATTATTGGTACGTATATATGTTATGTTTCCATTTCCTCTTATCAACTCTACCTTTTTTTTTGTCAAGGAATCTTATCAGGATCTCAATTTTGCAAGGGAGCAAACGGAGGAAACCTCTTATTTTCAGTGTTCTAAAAAGCGGTCTAGGCGGTCGCCTAGGCCCCGACTAGGCGCTAGGCTCTCATGCGACGCCTAGATAACCGCTTTGACCGCCTAAAATTACATAGATCTTGTTTAATGTATTTTTTCAATTTTAATTAGAGTTTTATTTATATATATAGTTATAAATATTCATATATTGTTTGAATATAAATATAATTAAATGTTTTATCTAGTTTTTGTTTATAATTTCATAATTTTTAGTTTTATTAGATATTTTATATAACTTTTATATATGATATCATATTTATTATGTTTTATGTTATAAACGTCTAAACCGCCTAGGCTCCGATTAGGCGTTCTAGGCGCTAGGCATTGGGTCACCGCCCACTTAACGCCTAGCGCTTTCTTGAACACTGCTTATTTTAACCAAGCACTGTGACAATTACATCGGACTTGACATATCTTCATCTCTATCTTCTTCTTCTTCTTTACCACAATCCATTCCTTTTTTTTTACATTGAATCTTCTCAAATACATGCATAAAACAAATAAACAAACAAACAAAAAAGTATATATGAATTAAAAAATTCCAGGTTTATCCTGCTAACGTCAATTTTCACGTTACGAGGATAACATTTTTATCCCGGCGGCCTATAGACCAAGACTGGTCTCGAGCTGCTGGGGTCTCTCTAGCAACTGGTGTTTCCCCTGTTGCTGGGACCAGTAGGCATGAGCCGTTAGTACCCGGTCTAAGAGCTCCTGTGGAACTGGCTCACCTCTCCTTTGTTGCGGCGATATTCTTGCTGTGTGCACCAACGTCTTCCATTTGTCCTAATATTCACACCAAATCAAAAGATACATTACTTCTTGCACAAGCAACATAGACCTCATTCACTGCACCTACCAGGTGAGCTGTAAGGAGAGATTTTTATTTTACCTTCAAATCAACATAAGTTCGGTGCTTAGCATTATCAAAAGCTCGCAATTTTACGTCACGCCACCTGGAGATAGATATGTACAGCAATATTAGAACTATCTTGGACCAATTATTGATGGAAATTAAGTCTTCTACCTTGGCAAACAATAAAAAATGTAGTTACCTTCCGGTCCCAAGTCTCTCCACAGCTTGAACAAGGGCCTCTACTTCGGCAACAGAAAAAGGTCGACGGATTCTACGCTGTGCCACCTCAGATCGCTTGGTTTTCCGAGGTGGGAGTACTGTCAAAGCCTGAGCATGTAGAGGGACAGGATCCAAGGCTCTGGAGTAGATGGTTTTACCCCTATTTGGTGCAGAGGGTTTGGAGTCAAGGTCACTTTCTACAGAATTACTCGGTTTAGCATGCTTCCCTGGTGATGGGAAACACCTAATGACAAACAAGTTTTGGATAACATCAGAAACAGAGTTCATCTCTACATCATAGAAAGAAGAAGCACACATTGACCTATGGAGTGAGACTGACCTTGTTAGAGTGTGAGGTACATTACATGGACGTGCAAAGTCAGAATCTTCAGTAGAAAGCGGTTTTGTGGATTGTGGAGGATTGGGCTCAAGACAAAACCCTAAATTATCTGAAAGAGTGTCTAGAGAGAGTCCAGTCTGAAGAAGCATTTTACTGTCGTCTCTAACCTTTTTTCCATGAACAAGAACACCTATGCGTAATCCACCTCCAAGTATCGAGGTCACAGCTTCCAAGACTGTCCTCTACCGAAGAGGAAGTAAAATTTTCATCATTATCCAAAAACATGAATGATCCTTACCAGAAAATTGTAAGCCAAAAATCCAAACCTTTAGCGAACCGACAGTAGCGGTCTCAGGAATTTCAATGAAAAGTTCAGGAACTCTAAATGACTTGATCCCAAGTTTCACTAAGAAAAGCAAGAAAAAATGAACAGAATCAATACAAAACTCTGATTGATAAAAATAACAAAAACCTCAATAGAAATAAATACCGTTATTAGAATCTCTTGATGATTGGAATGCTGGTTGCTTCTGACAAGCTATGGAAGATAGAAAAGCTGAAGCTGCAAAAAACAAAGCTCAAAGTCAATCACAATATCATCATAATGTGAATTTTGAAAAATGACAAGCTTCCGATAATATACCCTTTCGAGGTGAACCAGGAAGGCCTTCATTTTTACTTGTTTCCTCGGATTGTGATGCTGTATAACCATCAAAGTATCTTCTTTTCTTGATTGGATAGTTTCTCTCTGATCTTAAGCTTTTAAGACAATGTTTCTTGCTATAGTAATCAGACTTCAAGTCCAAGTCTAAACATTTTCAGGAAAAAAAACACATAAGTAAAACATGACATCGTTAAAAGTACATATGACTTTCCCACAAATGGTCCATATGTTCACCTGAATTAGGTACCGTTGTATCTTTCAGCTTTGGAGGGACTTTACAATACTTGGAAGCTAAAACTTTCCTTATTCTTCTATCTCCGATACGCAGAGTTGACCTAAATGATTTTGTTCTGTAACATGCTGAGAAGTTTTCGCCATCATCATTTTCCTTACCGTGTAAATCTATAGCATCAGAGCATGCTGAAGGATTTTGGGGAATTGGTTTCCTGAATCCACTACCTATATGATTCTCATCCTTGGCTAAAACATTCCTTGTTAACTTTGCTTCAAAATTTAGCCCCCCAAGCATTGATTTCTTATCATTAGACTCTGACCTATAGCAATCACCATTATTGATCTTGGATTCATCATACGCCAATTCTTGAGTTTCAAACTTGTCCGAGGAATCAGAAGTTATACCAGAAGAAGATCCAAAATGGAACTCTTTAAGGGGACTTGGAGATCTGTTAAAGCTTTGTATTTCATGAGATTTTGGAAGAATCTCAGAGACAAAGAAACTCCTTTCAGCATTATTATTATCATGATCACAATTAGTAGTCTCTTCTTCCACCATTAGATTGCTGCCATTAAGCGGTTCTTTCTTAACGGCACACTGATCTTCATTATTACCAGAGGTGTTGTTACTTGAGGAAGAAGAATTCCCACCTTCAAGCAACAGTTTTCCAGCTACTGCAGCCAACAAATCGAAAGACGATATTTGATGGTTTTCGCTTTTCTTCTTGAAAGCACTCTTCTAGCAAAACACAAACAGACACATATCAGAGGGTAACACTGGAACATATATATATAACTGCTAAGAAACACACAAAAAAGTTAAGAATCAATGTATTTACTCTTGGTGATCTAGCGGCTCGAGGTGTGTGAGGCACCTCATAGCCATTGAATCCATAATCGAGCCTCTTTTGCAACACCATGATTCGAAGAACATTTCAGTCATTCAGCAAAACGAAGGCATTCTCACGGTCACGGATTACAAAATCCCTGCAGGAAAAGAATTACAACATAAAAAACCCCTCCAAGAGAACTATAAACAGGAATCGCTCGTACATGTGACCGCGATTCGAATTGCAGATCCAATAAAACTTCAAAGATATCTCACCTTTTTTTTCCGGATAGAGGAATGCAATAATCTTAAGAAAATGCACGACGATCAGAAGAATCAGCAGACTGAAATCAGAATGTTTATCTTATTTTCTCATCAACCCAATATTTTACAGGAAAGAAAGAATTTCTGTTTTTATTTTTATTTTGTTGTGGGAAATTGAAAAACCCCTTAATGTGGGAAAAAAGTACGGAAGGAGACAAGGGCTTAAACCCCTGGTCTTATACGAGTAACACAGAGGACGTGTCTGAAAAAAGAAGAAGAGCGAATAACCGGCTATAACCAGTAAACCCCACCCTGAAGACCTGTTCTTCTTCTCCCTTCTTGGGTCACCCACCACTGTCTCACGTACTTCCTCTAGATTCGGACACGTGGTGTCTCTGTCGGATCGTCCGGCTTTTTTTACCACACACAAAAATCGACAATAACGTTGAGTCACACATGGCATGTAATGTTTTTTTTTCTTTCAGTCCAAGCCATGTCATTCTCCTTTTTATTTTATATTGTCTTTTTCAGTTTTTCTTCAATTTTATTATAAGAAAAAAATCAGTTTTTATAATTTTGATTTCATTGAAAAACATATTTATTTGCTCAATCACATGTTGGCCAGTGATAACTTCTAAGTAACAGAATCCCAAAGCTATAAACATCACTCTTCTCTGTTCATGTCACCATGTGTTAGAAATTTATAATCGGAATGATATATCCATTTTACTTTTCACATATAACTTTTACTATAAGCTGTAAGTTTATTTGGTTTAAAGGGATTTATATCGGTTTTGGATTAAAATATAAATGTCCATATGACTCAGTTAAGCGCCAATTTGTATTGGAAACATGTTTACTGATTTTCTAATATCCAATCATGCAATAAATTACACAGCCAACATATATAACATTGGATAAGCAAAAGTAATGTAACAAATCGTAGCGTTGACATTTTCGCTCCGTAAGAACAAAGTTGAAATTTCAACCTAGAAACAATGGCGATGATAAATAACATATACTCTTTGGACGTAAATTATTTGTAACGGTAAAGTTGAAAGATTTCTACTAACGCGCTTTAATTTTGCAGTATTGGAAAATAAGCCGATTAGGTGGACTATATAGACCACGGAAAGGAAACTGAGAGAATTTTAGCAAGTTATTAGCACGCGCTAATTTTGTGGCTGGGGAAGTGTTTTCACGTGCTAGTATGAAATTAATTACCATCTGGGTCCCGCTGACTTTTAACTGTACGTGGGCCTCGGGCCTATCTCCTTTCTAATTTTGTACTAGCCCATAGTATTTCTTTTTTCCCTGAGATTAATACTCGTGGTAGAACAAGAATCACTGAAGCTTACACAATTCGATTGAGAAAAAAAAAGTCAAACAGAAGGAAATCGAAAAGACACACAAATTGAGGTAAGTTTGGCAAGATGAAAACAAGGCACTCCACAACACTGTTCGGATATTCTTCTTGTACAATAGAAAACAGAGTAGTAACTTTCAATAGCACAAGGAGAAGCTTTTAAGTATCAACATGCTCACCAAGCTTAAGTATCAACATGCACAAGGAGAAGCTTTCAAATACAAATTATCATTCAAAAAACCCAACCACTAACGTGCCTTTGGGTTTATTTCAATGTCTACACTTATGCTCAGTTCCAGAGGACTCCTTAAATCCACCTCTTGCTGGCTCCTTTGATTTCTCCACTTTTCACATGTGTCCAAACATTCGTTTAGCTCATGAACAACCTGAGACATGTTTGGTCTCTCTTTAGAAGAAATGTTCACACATGACATTGCTAATTCAAGAACTTTCCATGCAGAACTTGTGTCATAATCTTGATGGAGGTTTGGATCCACTATACTTTCAATATCACCATTTTCGAGTATAGACCTGGTCCATTCCACTATGTTACAATTTTCACGGGATAAATCAATCACAGGTTGGCCACTGAGGATTTCCAATAAGACAACCCCAAAGCTATATACATCACTCTTCGTGCTTAACAAGCTGGTTTTGTGGTACCTATAAGAAAATATTTTAAAGATATGGTTCACAAAGATTTTTCTGAAAGCAAAGAAAGATCGAAGACATGCATGTTTAAATGTACAATGTGATATAAATCCTCCACTACTTACTCAGGATCCAGATATCCAAAAGTGCCAGCAACAACCGTAGATTCAGCTTCATTTCCTATTATGAAGGATCTTGAGAGTCCGAAATCCGCAATTTTGGCGTCAAATTCTTCACTCAACAGTATATTAGTACTTTTGACATCTCTATGAACTATTTTTGGCTTGCATCCAGTATGCAAATACTCAATTCCTACCATATGTAAAACCTCATATGTTAACTAATTATCATAGATATGGAGTTTAATTAAGAGAGAATTTAAATATATCAGCTCAAACTATAACAATATTTCTACACACCTATGGCGGATTCAAGAGCTATTTGAAGTCTTATCGGCCAGCTCAAAACAGAACCACCAGGTTTTCCTGCAATAACAACCAAGTGGCTTATAATCTTCAAGAAGTTGGTTTAAAAGAGAACCTATAATTGCTGTATCAAATTTTCATGTGTTTAATTACCTGAGAGATGCTCTTTTAAGTTTCCCTTTCCCATTAACTCGTAGATGAGAGCTAAGCCATTTTCATCATCACAATAACCAATGAGGCTTACTAATTTTTCATGGTGAACTCTCAAAAGTAGTTCCACCTAACAATCAAGGACATAAAAAAAAAAGTGTAACTCATTGATCCATGATCTCAAACATCGACCTACTTTAGTAGAATTTTTTTAATATAAATACCTCTGTTTTGAATTCTTTGTAGCCCTGAGCTGATGAATGAGAGAGAACTTTAACAGCTGCTTGTTCATTATTTAAAAAACCTTGATAGACAACACCGAACCCTCCTTTACCAAGAACAACTTGAAAGTTATTTGTCATTTCCTTAACGTCAGAGTAAGTAAATCTTCTATTTTTCGACTTGAAGGATGAGCGTCTAACTGCATAGAAAATTTCAACAGAGTTCCATGAGAGTTTACAATATGGGCTTATATTTTTCTATCTGTTATTCTCTATTAAGTACCTTTCCCAGCAGATGGCTTTCTCTTTCTTATAACAAATATGAGAACTAACACAAGTATGATAATGGCAAGACACACAAATCATATTTTCGTCAACCCTACAGAATAAATAACATTAGTGGATTACATAGTAAATTAATAAAGATCATCTCAAAAAGAAATCTTACAATAGCTTTAATCCTTCCTTTTTTCTATCAAGAAGGGCTTGAGGAACCAAACCGCTAAGTTTGTTTCCACTTAAGTTTCTGTAGAAAAATAAAGATCATCTAGTTAATATATGTATAACATTCTAATAAAAACGGCTTATTGTGCTTTCAACAACTTACATGACCAACAAAGACTTCATCTTGGCTAGAAATTCAGGCACTTCACCAGTCAAGTTGTTTTGGGACAAGTCCCTGTAGTTACATCAAATATTGTTAACGAATTTTTTGAATACATCTTCATTTTATTATAGAGATACGTACAGTTCTTGAAGTTGAGTTAGATTTTGTATGCTAGGTGATATAACTCCATTTAATCCACTTGAAGACAAATCTCTATTTGGATGATTCAAGACATATCACATCAGATACAATAATCAAGGGCTAAAGTTTTGCTAACAAGATTGAGTTAGAATGCTCTCACAATTTCACGATTCTTGGTGGTGTGGACACATCAATTACGTTGCAGCTTAAGCCAGTCCACGAAAATTGTTTAGGGACACATGGATCACCCTGCCAGCTGATTCTGTTCAATCCATAAGTAGCTTGAATCTTCTTTAGAGCAATGACTGAAACATGGTGGAAAATAGCAAGAATTGACACGGTGTAATAAGCTATATATATGCATAAATATTGTGCAAGCCAACATACCATCATTTTGATTTGTTTCTGATTGTGGAAACTCAATGACCGTGAAAATTTCGAAAGCATTCATCAAGGGTGGAAGCGTCGATCTCGGAGTTTTTATAAGCTGCACACGACAAAATCCTCCCTCGCATGTCAGTGGTACATCGTTGAACAAAATCTGTGCTTCAAACTTGGTAGGACTGAACGGATCGAAATGAACTTTATCATTTGCCACAACTTCGAATTCTCTAGTTTCATTGGCCGGGACGTCCGTGATCTCAGCCGTGTAAATATAACCATAAACTTGGTCAGTAGCCGTCTCCAAACTCCAGGTAATGGTCATTGGATCACTGGCATTAGCCGGCATGGCGCCGGTCCTAAGTACATCTTGTGGTGGGTCATAGCCACCTATAGAATCAATAACGTGGTGGGTTGTGTTTATATGCGTCCATTCTGGTAATATCGACAGCATCCAAATTCTATCATGCACATCTTGGGGATAACTGCCAAAATCAAAGTATATATTTACTTTACATAAGCTTATAACAAAAATTAATACGTATAATCATGTTTTATACTAGATGGCTTAAATGACATGAATATCCAACTTTCTACATGTTTTTTTTTTTTTGGAGATTAGTGTTTCTGCTCATTAATTATCTACTTTGGTTATTAATAAAAAAGAATAAGGTGAAAATGAGGTACCGTATAAAGTTGTTTGAATCGGTGAAATAGAACCGGTTATAACTCCTCAAGGAACCGGTTTGAGCAATATAAGTATCATATAGAAAGGGTCTCAATTCTATGGAAGATATAATTGGTGTACTCGTCCCTGTCTTGACGAGACATATCTCCAAGATGTTAGACCTTGTGATGTGAATGATCTCCTCGAGAACTCCATCACCTGACTTCCCCATATCTATGGTTGTCCAAATATTAGGACCAAGATAGAGGTCGAATCTTGGAGACATGTTAAGCCCGTCATAGTTTCCATATCAGAACATAGCCCTGATTAGATAATTTGTGTCTTGCGTGACATTTAGACTGTAACAATTTCGAATTCCATCGGGAAAGTATCTCAAAACCGTATATGGCTTCCTGAGTTTCATAACCAAGTCTTTTTGGACATTACCAGTTTTTCCTCCTTGGATGAAATTTGCATCGGATATGTACGTCAGATTGCTATTTGCTTCGTTGTAAGGAGACTCATTAGAAGGTATCCACAATCCAAACTGATGAATCCTGGTAAGACCGAAAACAGAGAGGTATATATTGTTTTTCTTATATAAAGTTCTATCTCAAAAAAAAACTTAGAATGGTTTATTGCCAAAATTATTGTTAAAAAAAAAATATGATAAAAAAAACCTTGTTGATTCTGAGATTGAACAAGATGTATGATGGATAAAGTGGCACACGCAGCAAACAGAAGCTTGGTGTGAGTCTCCATTTTTGATGATTTCTGGGTTCACAACTAACAAAACTACTACCAAAAGTTTCGAAACATAATAAAGCCATGCCCATGCATATCTTATATATATATATATATATATATTTCTAATACAAATGGAGAAAATTTAGTGTTATAAAGCTGCAAATGGAGTTCATTAATCATGGTGGCAACTAATTTTAAAAAAAAAACTAAATTTTTTTGCCAAGGTTTTATCTAGCGAATAAGACTAGAGCGATTAATAGCTAACCACTGATATTAGTGATATAATATCCATATAAATAAATCAAGACATTAGAGGTTGATTATAAAATAATAAGCTAACCAATTATATATACACTCTACATTTGGAAAAATCTCGATTATTTTTTCACTTTTGCTTATATTCGTGGTTTGATTCTGACACGATCGGTGACTTTGCCATATATGATGACATCCTTCACACACACGGTATTAACCAATTAGAATCAATCATTTCTAATTCCACTTGTAAACTTTTATTATAAAATTTAAACGTGACACACTTGTAAGATTCAATAATTCCACTTGAGAAAAGTCTTAGCTTCTTACCATAATTAATCCTATTTGACAAATTATTTCGGATTTTGGTCAGATAATCGGTCTAACACAAATACACGTGGCTTATTGTCATTGGTATAAGCACGTTGACATTTTTCCCATTATGATCCGTCCCCACCAGCAAGTAAAATTCAATTCTTCAATAATTCATCCGTTTTCTATATCCAAAGTTTTGATTTGGCATGTTTTATATTGCAAGTACATTGTTAAGTTCGTAATTCTGTTTTTTTTTTTTTTTTTGAACAGAGGTAGAAAAATGAAAAACCTCCGTGGACTTTTGTTGGCCTTCCTAATTTTGTCTTTTGGCATTTCCGATTTTCCTCAAGCACAAGATCAACAAGGTACAACTTTTTTTTTTGTTTCAGGTTTTCTTCTTTTAACTTTCTAAACATGTTTCCTTCCAAAATCTAGACATCAATTTAGTTTGGAAACTTAAAAAAATTTCCAAATTATTTCTTTGTTTTTTCTTGTCTTATCAGGATTCATCAGTTTGGATTGCGGATTGCAAGCCAATGAGTCTCCTTATACTGAACCAATAACAAGGTTAACATTCAGATCCGACGCCGATTTCATCAAAAGTGGAAAAAGCGGCAAGATTCAAAATGTTCCGGGTATGGAGTATATAAAGCCCTACACGGTATTGAGATATTTTCCGGATGGAGTAAGAAACTGCTATACTCTTAGCGTCATACCAGACACAAACTATCTGATCGTAGCCATGTTTACTTATGGAAACTACGATAATCTTAATACACACCCAAAGTTCGACCTTTATCTTGGTCCAAATATATGGACCACGGTCGATTTGCAAAGAAATGTAAACGGAAAAAGGGCGGAAATCATTCATGTACCAAGGTCAACTTCTTTGCAAATTTGTCTTGTTAAGACGGGAACAACTACGCCGCTAATATCAGCTTTAGAACTACGACCATTGAGAAATGGTACTTATATCCCTCAATCTGGCTCCCTCAAGACATTGTTCCGCGTCTATTTTACTGATTCCAAAGACACTGTTCGGTAAGCCAACTCCAAACCAATTGGTAATGAATAGATTAATGACTCATATTCTTTATATATTACCGCTAGATTCTTTCTCATTTATGAGTTGAATTACCTAACAACGTAACTTTGCTAAATATGATCTCTTCAGGTACCCAGAAGATGTCCATGATCGGCTTTGGAGTCCATTCTTCATGCCGGAATGGAAACTATTAAGAACAAGTCTCACAGTCAACACTTCTGATGATAACGGCTATGACATACCAGAAGATGTAGTGGTTACGGCAGCCACACCTGCAAATGTGAGTTCACCATTAACCATTTCTTGGAATTTGGAAACACCTGACGACTTAGTTTATGCATACCTCCACACCGCCGAGATCCAATCCTTAAGGGACAACGATACCAGAGAATTTAACATTAGCGCAGGTCATGATGTTAACTACGGACCTGTTAGTCCTGACGAGTTTCTAGTAGGTACTTTATACAACACATCACCAGTTAAATGTGAAGGAGGGACATGCCGTTTGCAACTAATAAGAACTCCTAAATCAACTCTCCCTCCCCTCCTTAGTGCTATTGAGGCTTTTATAACAGTGGAGTTTCCGCAGTCCGAAACTAATGCAAACGAGGGTATGTCAGTAAAATGTGAGTATATGACTTTGTTGTATATATACTTTTAAGTGTTTTCATTTTGTTATTTTGTTAGTCATTGCTATCAAGAGCATAGAAACAAGCTATCAATTAAGTAGAATTAGTTGGCAAGGAGATCCATGTGTTCCTCAACAATTCTTGTGGGATGGTCTTACCTGCGAGTACACCAATATGTCTACACCACCAAGAATCCATTCCTTGTACGTGCCATGGCCATTCGTAACACTAAAACAGTTTTTGTTAAGTTCTGCGTTTCTTCATATCTTACACTTTATATGTGTGTAATGATCTTTAATTACCACCAGAGACTTGTCCTCAAGTGAACTAACTGGAATTATAGTTCCTGCGATCCAAAATCTTACGGAGCTTCAAAAATTGTAAGTATGAACACATTGCCAATTTATTTATCAAGGCCAAACATGTACTCTGTTTTACCTGAATACTCTGTTTTGCAAATGATAGGGACTTGTCAAATAATAATTTAACAGGTGGAGTACCTGAATTTCTAGCCAAAATGAAATCATTGTTAGTCATGTAAGTTACTTGGTCAGCCATATGAATCACATTGCCAATTTATTTTCCAAGTCTGTTGATGTTTATTTAACTTTCTGTCATTTTTACCTAGGCAGAAACTTGAGCGGAAACAATCTTAGTGGTTCAGTCCCTCAAGCTCTTATCGATAAAGTGAAAAAGGGGTTGAAATTGAAGTAAGATCTTCTCAATTATATTTTGTCATTCAATAGTTGATGGTCATTGAAATATGATGTCTTAATTTACAGTATGTCTTCACTAACACTTAATTAGCTTGTTTACAATACTAGCATTGAAGGAAATCCAAACCTTTGTTCTTCCAGCTCATGCAACAAAAAGAAAAATAGCATCATGTTACCAGTTGTTGCATCACTTGCTTCTTTGGCTGCTTTAATAGCAATGATCGCTCTGCTTTTTGTTTGTATTAAGAGACGTCCATCGAGCGGAAAAGGTATCTGTAACAAATACATCAAACCAGAAACATTAGTGTATGCATACATAATTATATTGTGATTTCTAATTATTTGTGTATGGTTCTAGGTCTATCACCAAGCCAACAATCAATAGAAACAAAAAAGAGAAGATATACATACGCCGAAGTTCTTGCGATGACAAAGAACTTTGAAAGAGTTTTGGGTAAAGGAGGATTTGGGATGGTGTATCATGGTTATATAAGTGGTACCGAAGAAGTAGCGGTTAAGTTACTCTCTCCATCATCAGCTCAAGGCTATAAAGAGTTCAAAACAGAGGTTTTTTTGGCACCATTATTAATTTTCATTCACTTTGTAAGGCTAAGTTGATGTATATTATATTGTACATATTTGGATAGGTAGAACTTCTTCTAAGGGTTTACCACACAAATCTGGTAAGTCTTGTTGGATACTGTGATGAAAAAGATCACTTGGCCCTTATCTACCAGTACATGGCCAATGGCGATTTGAAAAAACATTTGTCAGGTAACACATATTCTCTCATGCATATATCATGATGGAAATTATGCACCGTGTTGATATATGACATTCATGTCTATTTTAATACATGCAGGTAGCTCCATTATTAGCTGGGTTGATAGACTAAACATAGCTGTTGATGCCGCGTTAGGTTAGTCATTCTCATTTCCTTTTTAACACCAGTTTGACCAAACTTTCTATTGATTTATTAAACAAAAATGAATTTTGGAGACAGGGTTGGAGTACTTGCATATTGGTTGCAAACCGCTGATAGTTCATAGAGATGTAAAAAGTTCTAACATACTATTGGACGATCAATTACAAGCCAAGCTTGCAGATTTTGGGCTTTCTAGATCTTTTCCAATTGGAGATGAAACTCATGTGTCTACACGTGTTGCTGGTACATTTGGATACCTTGATCATGAGTAAGTATTTTGACTTCTTCATTTCGTGTACCGGTTAAAACAAATTAGTTATAATAATTTCGACTTGCAGATACTACCAAACAAATAGGTTGTCTGAGAAGAGTGATGTCTACAGTTTTGGTGTTGTACTGCTAGAAATTATCACAAACAAATCCGTTATCGATCATGACCGTGACATGCCTCACATAGCAGAATGGGTGAAATTTATGCTTACTAGAGGAGACATTAGCAATATAATTGACCCTAAACTTGAAGGGGTGTATGACTCTGCTTCTGCATGGAAAGCTCTTGAATTAGCAATGACATGCGTGAATCCTTCTTCCTCAAAAAGGCCCAACATGTCTCATGTTGTTCATGAGCTAAAGGATTGTCTGATATCTGAAAACAAGAGGACGGGAGACATAGACACAACGAGATCCATCGACATTAACTTAAGCTTTGGTACAGATTTGAACCCCAAGGCACGTTAGCCTTTACTCTTCACTTTGCAGCATTCATAACAAGCAGATATGTGAACTAACTTATCATTATGTTGATGAATCCTCATGTTACAAAGATCAAAATTAAATGTTTGTCGTAGTGTAATGAGAGATGAACTGTATCAAATCTTACATTAACAGAGACAAAAACTGTACATCCAGATTCCGTAGACAGGTCATGATATAGGAACTTAATGTCCTGCAAATGTTTTATCAAAATACAGACACAGGACGTGTTTATACTTACTTCAGACATACAGTGGTGAGGCTGATGGGCGAGGATAAGCAACAACTGTACTGCCCACAGCAGTCTGTCGAGCAAAACCTGCATTTGCTTTTTTGCTGACAACACTGTCACTTCTCCTACGCATCCTTCTCTCTGTTCTATCCATATTTCCCCCTATTGCAGCATTTAAAGACTGAATGTGTTCGAGGTGCGAAACAACCTCGCTCATGTTTGGTCTCAGCTTAATCTCTGTGGTGAGACATCTCAGAGACAGAGTAGCCACTTTACATGCTTCTTCCATAGAGTACTGGTCCTGAAGACGATTATCGATGACTCTGAATATCTTCCTTTTGTTTACGAGGTATGGTTTAGCCCACTCCACAAGGTTCCTCTCTCCGGATGGACGGTTCTTGTCCACGGCTCGACGACCAGACAACAGCTCCAGAAGGACAACCCCAAAGCTATACACATCACTCTTTGTTGTTAGATGACCTAAGGAAAATGCAAAGTGATCATTCATAAGAAGAAGCCAATTCCGGAAAACAAAGATTTGACCAAAAAGAATCTGAGACTTACCGGTTGCAAGGTATTCGGGAGCTGCATATCCGTGCGTACCCATGACCCGTGTAGAGACATGACTTTTATCACCTATTGGCCCATCCTTGGCCAACCCAAAATCAGAAAGCTTTGCGTTGTACTCCTGCGATCATGTACCAGAAATTTTCCATCATAAAGCTTAAAACTTTTGCAGTAGTATCATGGCAATCATATCAAAAATGAGTATATTTCAAAATACCGAGTCAAGAAGGATATTAGAAGTCTTGAAATCTCGGTATATCACTCTAGTCTCGGAACTGTGAAGAAAAGCAAGGCCCTTTGCAGCACCAAGAGCAACTTTCAACCGGAGTTTCCAAGATAACGGTTGGAAGTACAAACCCCCTGCAACCCAAGAAAAACAAACCTGAATATTCATATCATAAAAAGCTTTAAGTTTGACCTCAGCCTGGGATTAGACTGAAGAGGAAGGACAACATACTTCTAAAAAGATGATTCTCCAAGCTACCCCGAGGCATGAACTCGTAAACAAGAAGACGGTGCTCATCCTCTAAGCAATAACCGATCAGCTTCACAAGGTGACGATGAGAAAACTGACCAAGGTAATTCACTTCAGCCTGAAAAATCATCCAAACAGAAAACAATCATTAAGATTAAGAACACAAAAGAACCAAAATTGGCATATCTTAACTTATTTATTTAGCATATTTACCAGCCACTCCTGGTGACCTTGCCAACCATCTTGGTTAAGCTTTTTGACGGCAATAACCAAACCAGTGCCTGGTCTTGAGGCAGTGAGAGACTTCTCATCAATCCATCCTTTGAACACACAACCGAATCCACCTTCACCAAGCACACTGTCTGGTCTGAAATTCCTGGTTGCGGATTTAAGGTCAGCAAAGCTAAAACTCTTGAGGTTTGGAGACTGTAAGATCTCACCCTCAGTTCGAGGGCTTGGTCTTACAGACACAGACGAACCCTTGCTCCCAAGACTTGCAGTATCTTTGGCGTCATACTTCGGACTCGCCCCTAAACCAACCAAACAACAACAAAAAGTATTAGTTTCGTTAGATTAATCCAAATTTTGGAAAAGAGTAGTTATACATTCGAATCCAATTTGACAAAAACACCAAAAACCCTAACCACAGATAGAAAAAAATCAAAACTTTTAAGGTAATGAAACAACAATTCTAAGTACTCACAGAATAACAGAGAAATATAAACCACAACAAGATTCCTACGAGAAGTCTCATAGTTCATGATAGGAAAAAGCATTATAATTTGAAGTAAATGTGTTTTACCTGAGCTCTCAGCTTTGACCTGAGCACTCAAGCAAATCCCCATGATTGAGTGATTTCAGAGAGAGGGAACCAAATTGGACACGCTTCTGCAATCTTCTCACTATATATCACACTTGAAGATAAGAAAAAGGTAGAAACTTTAAATCAATGGAAGCTGGAAAGATAAGAAAAAAGGTGAGAAGGAAATCAAATTGTTAAAGGAAAAGATTTGACAACTTGTATCACCCCCAAAAATGTATGCACGCTTTAAAGCATATGACCAAGTTCATCAAATCTCTTTTGCCGATTTAAGTAACCTAACAACCAACAAATGAAGAAAGAAAGACAAATTCTTCTTACTCACCTTTTTTATTTTCTTTGTTCTGAGCCAAGAGATAGAGAAGAGAGTGTGTGAAGAAAAGCGTTGTAGTTGGGTGGTAGCATTAATGGCGGATCGGTCCCGCCTTTCTCTGTTTCTCTTTCTATCGGAAAATCAAAAATTTCTCTCCTTTTTTATTTATTAACGTTTCGATTTACTTGATTTTGTCATTTCTCTCAATCGTTTTCGTTTTGGCCTTTTTGGTACTACAAAAAAGATATGATGACGATGAAGTCGGAAAAGATTAGACTTCACAGAAGCGTGTTCAATCGCTCTCAGCCGTTGGATCTGACGTTAACATTGTGTCGTGGTTCTCCATGTTAAGCTCCAGCTAGTGGACTTAGGCTTGGCTCGGTTCGGCTCACTTATCGTTATTGAAAAACCAGAGTGTCTTGAAAATTCGGATTAGTATATGTCTACAAAATTTAATGAACTTGTTGTAGCTATGCTAAAAGAAAAAAGAACCATTTATTCATATTTTTCTACATAATTAGTATTCTTTGCATATGTCAAAAAAAGAAACTATTGTATTTCTTGCATGATGGAATGAGACAATGTCCGTGAGTCTTAAGAGCATCTTTCCAGCTACACCCTACGTACGTTGGTTCATTCATTCACATTATTTTTATAGGATCTTCTTCTTTTTTTTTTTGTGTATCATGAATGGGATACTATCATTGATGGTTAACCTCAACATGTGTGTGATGGTTCGTTGAAATTTGAATAAAATACAAATCTTAATTCATCGAGGGACCTGGGCCCGTTCATTTGAGGTCTCCTTCGATACGAATTTACATATAGTATTAAATAATCCAGAGAGAAGACCGACAAAGATTATCATTGACTCGTTGGTTAGTCCTACACTTTTAAGTAAATTGACTAACGCAACTCCAATTATCTTTTCGCAACTCCAATGACCAATCAAATCTCTTTTCGCCTTTTCTCGCTTTCTATTTTCTTTTTCTTTTAAATTTTGACCATTGAAAATCTATTTGCCTTTCTAATCTAACTGTTAAATATTTTAAGATCGAGATTTTAGTCAGATTTTACCAGTTCTCCCCCGAATTTGATTGCTAATTTGCTATACATACTATTAGAATATAAATTTAAATTATGGAAACTTGAGTTAAGGTAGAAAACGTTTCTACACCAGAATATAATTATACATACAGTGACTTTATTAAATCATTCAAGCAGGGGATGTAGCTCAGATGGTAGAGATTTGCTTAGCATGTGAGAGGTATGGGGATCGATACCCCGCATCTCCATCTTAGTTTGGCTTTTTGTTCTTAAGGATTGTTACATCCTTTATATACTATTCAAAGATCTTAATCCCAAGCAATATGGACATTCTAATAACTTTGAAAACAATGATAAATTGTGATGGAGATGCGGTGATAAAAAAAAAAAAAAGATTTTTGAATAGCCATTATAAATTGATAAATACTTTATTACGATTTTAATATAAAACTATTTGATGTTGTATTTTCTAAAAAATAATTGTTATCCAAGAAAAAAAGAGAGTATTTATATCCGGTAGTGATGATATACAGAATTTAGTGCCATACAAATATTTATTTTGAAATAATGTCTAACTATAAAGAGTTACAAACTCCCAATAATTTTTTGAAGAAACGAACAAGTTGTTCTATATAATTGACGGGAGAACATGGCATAGACTCTTTTTCCATTATTTTATAAATATGTAAATCAACCGTCAGACTATTTGTTTTGTTTATATATAATTATAGATGGTTTGGTGGTAGTCCATGAAACAAAAAACAGAGAAAAAGAGTTTTGATGTATTTTACCATTTGTCTGATTGGATGTGACAGTGTGAACGAATATTTGACGGTTTGACTTTTGCTAGTCTGACCCATCGGAAGGACCCCAGAGAGACAAGGGTCCAATGTCCACGCAAAAGCATGTCCGCCACGTGGTGCCGCGTCGGTAAAAAGCTGCTTATTTTCACGGCTCAATCAACCAACGTACGCGGCTAGCTCAGCTCCCTTCGAGCCCGTGACCTAGTTAGTAAGTTGGTAACTGAAAATCCCGCAACAGCATTTCCCATAGCCAATATACCTCCACTGTTGAATCATGTTGCTCACGAAACCTCTCTTACTACTTTTTGGCCCATATGAACTTACCAATTTTTTCTTTCTGTTTTCAGGCCTGGCCCAAATTAGCCCAGGAATCTTCTTCCTTGACCATGGCAAATTGGCAAGTGACTCAAATTTTTACAACGGTGATAAACGAACGACGCCGATGCAATCTGCGATGTATAGTTAACTATACTTTTAGTCTTTTACAAACATCTTCTTAAACCCACAAGTCACTATCATCCAATCAAATAAAAAAACTGGACCAGACTTGATTGAGTCAGGGCTTATATTGTTCAACAAGTTTCAACAAACTGTATGACTCAGCATCTGGCCTAGCTCCGCCTAGAACCATCCTCTTGAACAGATTAGGGTCATACACTTTAGCCTTCACATAAGCTTTGAACAGAGCGTTGTACACAAACGCATACCTATTATACTTTGCATTCTTCACCTCTTCAAACAGTTTCTCTGAGTTCTCAACATCACCTTTCTCTGCAAAACACTCGATGATCGATAGAGTCGTTTCCAGCCACGGCGTTGAGCTTCTTATGCTATTGCTCGTCTTTAGATTCGAACCCATTTCAATGTTTTTGAGAGCTTCCTTCATCAGTTTGGCTTTAGCACATCCTAGAGCAAGATGTCTATACGTTATGGAATTAGGCTTAAACCCGTCTCCCATCATCTCGCGGAATACACCTATTGCCTTCTCTATCAAACCGTCTTTGCAGTATACCGAGAGCAGAGAGTTGAATTGCTCAGTTTCTTTGAGTCCTCTTACGTTTTTCATCTCTAACCAGAGCTCTTCCGCTCTATCAAGGTTCCCTACTTGCGCAAAAGCTTCAGTTGCCAGTAAGTAACTCTTGGATCTAACATGATGAAACCCTCTGATGACATTCCACGTTCTCACTAGCTCCTTTTCTTTCCCTAAACGCCCATATAGAATCATCAATATATCTAAGGTCGACCAATTATTCCCCGTGACAGATTTTTCTATTTCCTCGGTATAGGCTTCCGCAACTGTATACAACCTCGCAACAGCATGTGCCATAGCCAATATACAGTAAGAAACCTCATTCGGCTCAACTCCAGCTTTCTTCATACCATCAAAGGCCTTAAGCACCCCGTCAATGTTATGTTCATTAGCCTCAAGCTTCATCAAGATATGATATGTTGAGACATGAGGAGTGGCCTTGTCAGCTTTCATGAGCGCAAGGTCTTTCGCGATTAGCTTTCTTCGTCCGGGAGCTGAGTTGCGAATTATAAGACGGTTGTAGACCAAATGGGATGTACGATAGCCGAGTTCCCTCATCTTCTTCATATACTCTAGTGCAAGCCTTATGACACCTTGGTCTAAACAAGCAATCACAAGGTTGTTGTAAAGAAGCTCGTTCTGAAACTCTTGAGGGACACGGGTAAAAAGCTTTTCGCCTTGCGAGACGCCATGAAGTTTGACTGTAAATTCCAGCAAGTAGGAGTATTCTAGCTCACCGGGACGGTAAGGTCTTTCCCTGATTATCCACTCCATCAACTGAACCCAACATATCAAAAATGTTTCAGCTCACATTCAAGAGTATCTTCATATAAACAAAAAGAAACTCATTTCGACTAAGTAGCATTCTCATTTCAGTTCAATTGGCAAAACCACATTGATACAACAATCCGAGTGCTATGGAGAGAAGAGAGAATCAAGTAAGAATTCGAACCTCAAGGGCACGTTTGTTTCGTCCGAGCTTCCTCAATCGATTAATAGCGTGATAAACATCTCCACCATGAACTGGAAACCCATCACCCATCCAGCTCTGTAACGCAGACCCAACAGTTACGCCCTTTGGGAGCTTCTCGATTCTCACAGACAAACACTTGTTGGGCTCTTCTTCTTCTACATCCGACCCGAGACATGATGTCTCTTCCGGAGATTTCTTCGAAGAGATTAGGGTAGTGAGAAAACTTGAAGCTTGGAAATTAGTTTGATTCACCGCAAGCGAAGATGGCACGCAAGTTGTTCGACGTATTGCCTGACCGAAACATTCTCGCTGCCTCACCAACGCAATTATAGATCTCATTTCTTCTTCTTTTTGGGACCTTACTGGCCCGTAAACTTTCAACACTTAAGGCCCGATAAGTAAGTACATGGTTTACTTATATAATACATTTTTAACTAAACTCTTCACTTAAAATCTCTTCTTTTAATTAATTAATTAAATTTTAGTATTTCGTTAGATTTTTAAATTAATTAATTAAAATATTTACCTAAATTGTTCATGATTAATTAGCTGATTGAGCTTATATATATATATATATATATCCTTTTTTTTTGTGCAAATATATATATATATATATATATCCTAAATAAGAAAATAATATAAACAGAGGAGCTAGACATAGACAAATCTTTTTTTTTGGTTACAGACATAGACAAATCTTAATAGTCACAAAAGTCAATACACATAAATATTTTTTTACGTTGAATATGAAAACATTACATAATCACACCATCACCACCACATACAGGAAAATACAAAGCTGGAAAAAAGTCAAAGCTTAAGAGAGTTATTTACGCAACACAACGGCCACGTCTTTATTCCAACACACACACAACATCTCTTAGCATAAAACACAGTTTTTCCCCAATTTTTCTGGCATATATAAGGTTTAGACCACAATAATAATTTCATCAACAGTTACAGTTTGACCCACAGCTGCAGTTTGATCCACAGCTACAGTCGTCGCACTCCTGGTTGTAGTTCTTCTCGCAACTTTACCACACAAAAACAAACAAACAAAAGATTAATATGATGAGATTAAAGACTAATCAACCACATGCATATATATGCAGGACAGACACCGAAATGTTTTTGAGTTTATTAACAAAACACAATTGTAAAAGAAGAGTCATAATAATTTTTGAATTTTGTACCATGAAGCCATTAAAACTCATCTACATATATGCAAATAAAGGTAAAGAAGGGAGGATCTAGGGTTTACCTGCAAGAGTCACCACATTTGCAGGAGGAGCCACATCCACAGTTAGAACCTGCCATTTCTCTTACTTCTCTTTGATTGATTTTTGTAGTTTCTTCTTCTTCTTATGATGCTTTTGTGATTTCAACAAATGGGAATGGCCACTATTTATAGAAGAAAGAGAGATTCGGTTTTATATCCACCATACACGTGGCATTTTCTATTTCCGCAAGTTTTAGTTACGTATATGACATTGACAAAGTAAGATAAGAAATTGTATATATGGGATAATTGGATTGCTTTCTAGCGAGACTATATATAATCTAAATAAATTTACGAATAGCATCAACTTGCCCATTATTTTCTTTTATGTTAGATTTGTTCCAACAGCTCAGCTTTATTCAAGAAAATAATTTAATGTTAGTTTTAGCAAGAAACAGAGAATCAACAAATAAATAGAAAACGTCAAATTATTGGCGAATAAGTAAAAAAAAAAAAAGTCGTACACGCAACAAGAGTAACTATCTCAATTGTCAATTGTAAACGGCAGCCGACCCAAAAAAGAGGCATGAAGCGTGCCTCTTAATTTCATCTGATCTGCTTACTATATACTTCTATTTTGAAAAATATGTTAATATTTCTAGCGTATTTATTCATGTAATAACAGTCAAACATTACAATAATATATTCATATTTTCCATATGTATACAGTGTATTATATTAAACATTATCCTTTCTTTTTCTAAACCTTGTAGACTTGTAGTAATGTTATCATATGCGTCAGGAAAACTTATTTAATGAGAAGTATTTGTCATCTGTTTTGAAACCTTCCTGTGGTCATTTGGACGACGACCCAGGACACGGTCTACGTTCTTCTACTACTTATTAATCTTGTAATCTGATCCATATATTATATCTGATTAAATATCCGTTTAAGATTTTTTTTTCTTTTAAGTTAACACCAAAAAAAAAAAAAAAAAATGGACTAAGCGCAAATTGAAAATTGAAATCATTCAAAATTCATAATTTTTTTCTTCTCGACTTCATGAATAAAACTAAAAAAAAATTGTAGCAATTTGGTGTGTTTGATTGCATTTGTCGCAGACATCAATCGTTGCATGTGTTGAATTCGAAGTTAAGATTACGTAACTATGGAATTTAGTCGAAGTTCGTATATGTTTTTAAGCTTTATACCGAAATTTTGGTGGGTGGCACCGACGCACCGTAGAAGACATTTTTCATTTTGTCTCAAAAAATTATGATGAGTTTGTGGTGTTAAATCTGTCCATAAGCCGTGAGCGACTGATTTTCTGAACAAACCTAATTTGTCTCTGGTGCCGAAAGTTTGGGTTGGAATAAACTTTTTTCCTATATTTTACATATATATATATATATATATATATATATATATATATATATATATATATATATATATATTTTTTTTATTTTTTTTGGAAACAGTATATATATATATATATTTTATTACCAAATATTTAAGAACCACATAAACTTGTTTGAGTTGATTCAAGAGTCTACCTTCTTAGGAATTCACGAACGTCGCTACTTTACGTAAAGGAAAATAGGAATAATCGTAGATGGGGTCATTATACAATGGTAACATGCACTAGGGTTGGGGCTGGTGTTTTCGTTGTCTTCTTGCCCCTTCAAGGTCCTGAATTGTTGAATTTACGTTCCATCACAAATCCAATCCTGAATATTATTTTTTGACTTCCTAGTTCCTACGTGCCGGCCTGTTTAGTCAAAAAATTGGCCTATAATATCAAAAGTGGTAGTGACATTTTTATTTATCTAGGATTCTAAGAGACATTAATTTTAGATTATGAGTAGTTGCAGTAATGTTGAGTTTTTAATTCAGATTTGGTTTTTATATGTTGCAACTTGCAATATAAATATGTTGTCTTAAATTAAAAGATTGTTTTGTAATTTTGTTAAATGACATGGTGATTAAAAAATTTGGTGAGATACTTTTGGATATTTCTAACCTCATGTTCTCAAAATCTGCCCAAATTAGAAAAACTAAAACCTAGAGGGATTATAAAGTCCAACAAGAAATTGAAGCTATATGAGCATCTCATATATACAATTTTTTTGCTTACCCTATCATATACGAAACTAAAGCTTACAGATAGCAAGGTTGACAAAATTCATATAAAATATATATTCGGTTATATATATATACAGGAAATGTATGGTGGATATAAAACCGAATATTTATCTTCTTCTATAAAATAGTGGCCATTCCCTTTGTTGAAATCACGTATCAGAAGAAGAAGAAGAAGAAGATAAAAAGCAAACTACAAAATTTAATCAAAGAGACGTAAGAGATATGGCTGGTTCTAACTGTGGATGTGGCTCCTCCTGCAAATGTGGTGATTCTTGCAGGTAAGAGCTCCCTAGATTTTCTCTTCTTTACCTTAACATGCATATAATATATATGCATGTGGCTGCTTATTTCTTAATTAATCTCATCCCATCAATTATTAAATTTTGGAATGTTTTATTTTTTTTTGTGACAAAGTTGCGAGAAGAACTACAACAAGGAATGTGACGACTGTAGCTGCGGATCAAACTGCAGCTGCGGGTCAAGCTGTAACTGTTGAAGACATTATGGTCTAAAACCAGGGAAACTGGGAAAATATGTGTTTGATGCTAAGATAAGTTGTGTGTGTTGAAATAAAGACTTGGCATTGTGTTGCGTATTAAGCTTGACTTGTTCCTGCTGTGTAATGGTTTTATTTGTAACCTAAAACAAATACATATGTATTGACTTTTGCGATTAATTATTAAGATGTGTCTCATTTCTCCATATCTAAGAATGAAAGGTTAATCAGCTGAGTAATCCACAAGTATGTATTAATTAAGCATTTAGATAAATGATTAGATATTTAGATGGTAAAACCATACTTAAAAAGCTTATATCACGTTATGCATAAAAAAATTTGACTAACAAAATCGTGAAAATATTTCATTGCACAATAGTTGAGCCACTTTTCCAAGCCAATTCAATTGGTCCATCTACTGATTACTGAAGTAAACTAGTCAACACAGATATTCTCCAATTTTAATCTCTCCGATCCCTCACCATCACCGTCGACAAGCATTTTCAGACCATCTTTCAGCTCGGCCACCCCTTCTTCAAGAACCGCGCAAACCGGAAATATCTTCACTCCTTTCACTCTTCTCTCAAGTTCTTTCAGTCTCTCTTCCGCACCTTCCTCATCGATCTTATTCGCCACAATCAAAGACGACCTATCGGATAACCCTTCTTCGTGGAACTCAAGCTCCATCACCAGATCTCTCAGTTGTTGCCACGGTGTCACTCCTCTACAACCGTCTAGCCCTGATGCTAAATCCACAACGTAAGCCAAGACTTTAGTCCGTTCGATGTGGCGGAGAAAGTTGTGGCCTAGACCCCGGTTCTGATGAGCTCCTTTTATAAGTCCCGGAATATCTGCTACCGTCATGGAGAAGTCGTCATAGTTTACATTTCCTAAATTGGGACGGAGTGTCGTGAAGGCGTAGTGACCTACACGGGGTTTAGCGCGGGATAGCGCACCAAGAAGAGTGCTTTTCCCTGCGTTTGGCAACCCAACAAGACCAACGTCGGCAATGCTCTTGAGTTCTAATATCAGAACAGCCTCGGAACCGAGCGAACCGGCTTTAATACTCGACCTTTCATCATCATCTTCAGCATCATCCTCCATGCTCCTCAAATTGGTTTGACGGATTGCGGTTTTAGCAAACTTGCTGCCTCTTACATAACGTGTAGCGGAAACGTTACCCAAACCACCTTCACCGCCACGAGCAATGATTATTCTCTGACCTTGTTGTGTTAATTCCGCAACATTATACCTGATTTGATCAATCTCTTCTTCGTCGTCTTCCAAATCAGCTTCCTTTGGCATGCCTAAATGTCTGGTTAAACTCTCTTGCTCAGTATCATCAACTTGAACAGACTCAAGCATAGTTTCCTGATGAACATCAGAGGTCTCCTCGGATGCAGGATCCTCAACCAGTGAGCCAGGAAGTTCCCATGGATCTAAATCTTTGGGAGACTCATTTTCCACCTGAGATGGATCTCACCCTCCTGAAGATGAATCACTGTCCCAATAGGCACTTGCAAGACCTGTGGTAACACAAACAAGCACAGAACAATGTCTTAATTCCCGAACGATAAAAGAAAGAAGCAGAGGAACAAACAACTAATGAGAATGTAATAAAACCTTGTCTTCTCCTCTGTTTCCTATCCTGTTCTTGGAAGTTCCATGTCCAGCTTTCCCACCTTTCTGCAAAACTCATTGATATAACCAACTAAGAGAAATTACATGATCCCCGAAAACACGAAAAGAGTGACATATACTTACAATATGGGGTTGTAATCCACTGAAATCCCAAACTGCGTGTGTGCATTCTAAAATCACATCACCTCCTCTCCCACCATTTCCACCTAAACTAATCCTCAATTACATTACATGAAACATAAAACATTTTTTGAATCAATCAATCACTCAAAAGAGTATTTCAATTCTAAGTATACCAAACCTAAAACATAACTATAGATTGGGAATAACTCAACAATTCTGTATTATCAAAATTCGGAATAGTACCGTCAGGTTTGCCATAGCGATCGGCACGGCTCCGGCGGACGCTGGAACAACCACTACCACCTTCACCGCCGCGTGCGTACAGAGTAAACCTATCTCTCATTCTAGTCTCCTGCACCACAACAACACACACAAATCAGAAATTCAGTGAGAGAGTGAAGCAAAAGAGTGGGTTTTTATTTGTGGGTTAAGTGAATAGATGATGAATTCACCTGTAAAGGAGCAACTTTCCCTTTCTTCTCCGAAAAGTCTGAGTACAATACCACTGGATTTCTCATCCATGGCGGTTTTTGAGGTCTCTTGTAAGATCCCAAATATCGAACGGAAACAATCGCCCGGGTTAGCCACATCAACTTGTTGCCGATGGATCTCCGGCGACCTGAGAGAATGAGGAGACACAGGAAAGTGTCCGGCTGAGGAAATTTATCGTTCGGGGAGACGCCGCGGTGGTGGTCGGAGACGGAACCGAGTCAATGGCTAAGGGTTTAACGTAATAGGCTCGGCCCAATAAAGTAACAACGGCCCATTAAATGAAAAGATCTGTTTAGTTAAATGACAATTACAAACTCTGATTTAAAAGTTGCTATTGGCAAATAAAAATTCTTAATAAGGTAAATTGTATTTCATCAAAAAATGTGGGACTGATTAGGCACACTATTTTACAAGCTGTAAGAAATCTTGAATTTTGTATCAAACACATATTTATATACATGTATATCAAAAATCTACCTGAGATATTCAAAAAAAGGGTTTTGTAATTGTAACTTACTAATAAACACAAAGCAGTTCATCTAAAACATCATCAAAAATGAGATCTTCAAGCTCAAGAGTAAGCCATTCAGATTCACCTTGAAGATTCATCCATCCATCACTCTTTGTAAGAAGATCTCTTCCCACAATATCATCCAATGAACGATCTCTATTCTCAGCTCCTAAACCAGAGAGGCTCCACTCGACTCTTCCCCATACCTCATCAAGATAACGTTTTCCATATGGATATGTTTTGGGGAAGTATATTTGTGATTGGTTTTGAGTCTCGACGATTGCCTCGTTAACCAAATCAAAGAGAAGCTCTTTGTCGTTCACTACTTCTTCGTGTATCTCGAGTTCGTGAAGCAGTGATGGATTCAGTGGTTGTTCCTCTGAGTGCCATTTTTCTTCGAGGAAGCCTGAAACTTCTAGAACCTTCTTTACGTAACAGAAGTAGGCATCTTCATCTTCTTCTTCATGGTTGTAAATCTCTGAAGTACTTAGACCTAAACCTGTAGAACAAGCATCCATAGAATTGAGTACCTTTCTCTCATCAAACAGTGAAGACCTTATTTTGTTCAAGATATTACCTTGTGGGAGTAAAGTCTCTGTCTTTTCTACAGTATCATCGGCACTAGGAGCTGAATCTTGATCTTGTTGCAGGATTATTCTTTGGTTTGAGCTGTCTAGGTGATTTTCTTGGCTTCTCTCCTCTTGCACCTCATATTTCTCTTCCTTCTCTGCTCTTACCAGAGATTCGGATAACAATACAGATTTCTTGGATCCAAAGTTAGTATCTTGGTCCACAGGTTTCTTAGGTTCCAGATTGGAAGTAGAACTGTCTCTTGGAAGGTCGGTCAGAAATGAACCAAGAACTTCAAGGCTGGACAAGGACGAAATCCGTCTGAAGAATTGAGGTTTATTATCTCTTGAATCGCTCTTTTTCTCTTCATATGATAGTTTTAAGCTCTTAGAACGCAGTTCACCACCTTCTCTTCTAAAACTCTGCTCCAAGAGTTGAGAATATCTCCCCATATAATCATCTTTTGGAACATCCGAAACCTTCTTCTTCTTCTTTGTGTGATTTCGGTCTTTAAGTGCGTTCTTGATCAACTTCTTAATTTCTCTAAATCCGTTTATAACAGCGTGGTTAAATCCATGATCATCATCAGCTGAGCCATGAGAAGGAGAGTTTGGTTTGTGCTCTTGAGAAGCGTCTCTTGGAACATTCAAAGTTAAAACGGCACCGTTTTGCTTTGGAGCATACCAATTCTCCTTCTGCTTGTGTTCGATCCTAGCAGGACGAGAAGAGCCTGAGATAGGAAACGAGCCTGACTTGGGCAAAACTCTTGGATTAGACTTGATCTGGACTCGATCTTTCAGTATCTTGACAAAAACATCTTCCTTTCTCAATATTTCAAGAAAATCCACGTACTCAGTTACTTGCTTCGTAGCCATCATCTTCTTCGGTTTTGTTCCCTGTCTTGTTGGCTTATTATCTGCAGCAACATTAAGCATCTTTGAATCTCCTTCCTTAGAATCAAGAAACGGTTCTTGTTCCTCAGTTTCACGCATCAAGGAATGGGTTCTTGGGGTCTTCCAACCTATGAAAACAGAGTAATGAACCATTCAACAATCTTTAAATATTGAAAATTCCTTTAAAATATTTTAAGAGATGGTGCTTACAAATTGGTCGGTTCTTAGTTCTCCAATGGTGAAAGTCAAGCACATGAAGCATTCCAGCTAACCATCCTGATTTGTGATTATATTTGCCATCTTTTGGACTTGAATTCTCGTTTTTCAAATGCTTCCACATTTCGAATCTTATGATCTACAAATTAAATTACGATTTTTGAGCAATTTGAAAGACAGAGGATAATAACAGCGACGTATTAAAAAAAACACACACAAATTTAGTCAGACCAGAGACTTAGTAGCTAGTCTGAAATCTTCAAAATCCAATCAAATATAATCAAATCAAAGAAACAAATCATCTTTCTTGTTCCATTTTGATGAACCTAAGCAAGAGAAGAATAAAAGCCGTTAAAGAGTTATACGGTAGAAACTGACCTGTGCAAGATTCAAGAACAAGAAGAAGGAAGTGATTGAGCCAACAAAATTGTTTGATGTTATACAAACAGAAGAACATAAGGAACAACAAAAAAACCCTCAAGAGGGGTTGATGCAACGAAAGAAACGAGGAAGACCATGAACAAGAACGAAGAAAGTGAGACTTTTCGTTCTCCTTTGTGGTTCTACTTTACCCGCCAACTATGGCCCGGTCTACTTGTAGAAAACTGTCAAAATGTCTGTTTCATCTATTATATATAACGCTCACACGCCATGAGAAATACATGAAATAATTTGTTTTTTTTTCTCATTGTAACACATGTACTTTTCTATATTAATTCAGTATCTACTACTTTTCAACTTGTAAATAAGAATTTAATAAAATAGTTTCTCTTATCTTTTTCATTACTAAATTATACGTATAATTTCTTTTGTTAGTACACGTTTATTATTTCATAAAAATTATTTAAATAATAATAACTTTTTAGAAATTTGTTCAATTTCAGAAATTTTAATACTTTAAATAATGTTCTCTTGTAAATATTTATTTTCTGATATTAAATAATTTAAGTACTCTATCCGTTTGTTTTTATATGATGTTTTGATGATTTTTCATAGTATGTATTAGTATTTTCTATGCAAATATGATCAATTTAAAGAGTATCTATTATTAGTTTTTTGAGGCAGTGTATATATTATTATTAAAAGATCGAATCATGAATTCATTAAATCACCGCAAAATGATAGTTAACTCATTTTCTTATTTTCTATCAATTTAGAGCTTCATCTATAAATGGAAAACCTTTTTCACAAGCGGAATTTTAACTATTTTTGGTGCTTAAAAATTCTGAAAGTTCGCATAAGTGTTTCAAAAGTCCATAAGCGTCTCAAAATCATTAGAATAAATTCATATGACTTATACTAGGATATATATATTGCTCATTAAAAAAAAAAAAAAAAGGTCCGATCCAGAAGATGTCGTATCAAATATCTTGTGGGTAACCAAGTTAAATATATTAACGGTTTCTAGAATTGCGCTGGTAAAGTATGTGAACAACCCAAGAAGGATGAGTAGTTACGTTAGTTGTTAGGCTACTTTGTGTCTGTGGCAAATTGTTGATATTCTCTGTATGGGAGGTAGGCCATCTTTTGGGCTGCTTAGGTTTTCTCTGAATGAATTCTGTCAAATGATAATAGAATGTTGTTTATCAAGTTATATATAAATATTACTATGCAAGCCAGAATTGACTTGAAAGCCAAGGTTGACCTACCTGGAAAATTAAACCCTAATCACGCTTCGTATTTAACCGAGTAGAAGGAAAACTTCGACTACCAAATATTCAAAAGGAAATGAGAAAGAAAGAAGATTTAGATCATTTCGTTAGCAAGTGGCCGCTACCAAACGAATTATATGTATATTATATTGTTACTTTTTTTGATATTCTAATAAGCAGTATGTTCCTATCAAATTAATCTTAAACAAAACGTAACAAGAAAAGGAAGTCAAAGACTTTAGTTGGATTGGCGTGATTAAGAATAGTAATGATCACAACTGCCCCAACCAAAGTAAATGAATATTGCCACCAAACTCAAAAAAATGAACTAAAGACACAAACTTTGTTAACAAAAGAAGAAAATTAAAGTCCAAATATTTTATAACATGAATGACGTAAGAGAGGGCGAGAGTGGTGGGGGAGAAAGGAATTATGAAAGTTGACGAGAGATTGAAGAAAGCAAGACGTTCAGTTATAATATGACACGTGGTAGGCTCTTAGCCCATCTGATCCACTGTATTACACGAGATCCAACGGCGATTGCCGAAACGAAAACAAATGAGAGAATTTGTGGCACACTCTTTTGACTTTTAGAGAGTTTTTTTTTGTCTTAGCCCATAAGATCTATCAACAACAACTTCTTTAATTGGCCATTCCTAGTTTTCCGCAGCTAAGTTTATAAGAAAGTCTTTTACTTGCAATTGGAGTTCACGCGTAAGCCCACGCTCGATCTGAAGGCAGCGTGTACCGTGTGTAGTATTTTCAAATGACCCGTTTTGGTTTTGAAAAACTATGTTTTCCAAGTGATTTCTCTTTTGAATTATTTGCGCTAGTAACTTTGTTAGCACCTATTACCATAAACAGATGGATGGATAGTTTTTACCAACGTATAGATAACACCTCTACAATTTAAAGAACGTATTGATCTTTCTTACACACGCACGGCATGAAGAAGAAGACTGTCTTCGACTCCTCTCATAAGGTACTCACCAGAACGATCGCGTGCATGCACGCATTTGTGTGAGAGTGGTCCTTTATAGCAGCATCTTTCCCCATTTAAATAGAAACCCCTGAGTTAAAGACTCTTTTAGTCAACGCCTCTCTCGCGTTCTTACTTGTTTTCGACGTCACACTTTTTTCTGTTGACACCAATTTATGTTTTGTTTTCCTTCTCACAGATTTTAAATCAGACAAAACTCGAATAATATCTCTTACATTTTCTTTTTCTTTTATTCCTTTCCCAGATAATTAATTATACTAGAAAAATCATTTTCTCTTTGCACATAAGTCAACTCTCTCTCTCTCTCTCTTTTACTTCTTCTCATCATCTTCTCTTTTCCCTCTCATTGGATTTTCTTCCATGGGTGAACAATCAATCTCAGCTTGAATTCTCCCAAATCCTCTATTGACTTTGAAAATCCAAAAAAAAAAAAAAATTTGAAATTAAAAACGTTTCTTGATGGGTAACGGAGTCACAAAACTGCGTATATGTTTCACAGGCGGCGGAGGAGGAGAACGTCTCCGGCAAAAAGACATCTCCGTTCTTCTTCCGGATCCTTTAGACGAAGGGTTAGGTCACTCCTTCTGCTATGTCCGACCCGACCCGACTCTAATCACTTCTTCAAAAGTCCATTCAGAGGAAGATACAACGACGACGACGTTCCGCACAATCTCCGGCGCTTCCGTCAGCGCCAACACAGCAACTCCTCTCTCAACTTCTCTCTACGATCCCTACGGTCACATCGATCGCGCCGCCGCATTCGAGAGCACGACATCGTTTTCGTCAATCCCTCTGCAGCCGATCCCCAAAAGCTCCGGTCCGATCGTGTTAGGTTCGGGTCCGATCGAAAGAGGGTTCCTTTCAGGTCCGATCGAGAGAGGATTCATGTCGGGTCCTCTTGATCGGGTCGGGTTATTCTCAGGTCCGCTTGATAAGCCAAACTCCGATAATCATCATCAGTTCCAACGGAGCTTCTCTCATGGTTTAGCTTTACGGGTCGGGTCAAGAAAACGATCTTTAGTTCGGATCCTCCGTAGAGCAATCTCGAAGACGATGTCAAGAGGGCAAAACTCGATCGTTGCTCCGATCAAATCCGTTAAAGATTCCGATAACTGGGGAATTAGGTCAGAAAAGAGCCGGAATTTGCACAACGAGAATCTCACAGTGAATAGCTTGAACTTTAGCAGCGAAGTAAGCTTAGACGACGACGTTTCACTCGAAAGCCAGAATCTTCAGTGGGCTCAGGGAAAAGCCGGTGAGGATCGAGTACACGTGGTGGTTTCTGAGGAGCACGGTTGGCTCTTCGTCGGAATATACGATGGATTCAACGGTCCAGATGCGCCGGATTATCTTCTCTCTCATCTTTATCCTGTGCTTCATCGGGAGCTCAAAGGCTTATTATGGGACGATTCAAATGTCGAATCCAAATCTCAGGATCTAGAAAGGTCTAACGGAGACGAATCTTGTTCAAATCAGGAATATAATGATACTTGTGATCGATGGTGGAGATGTGAATGGGATCGTGAAAGTCGAGATCTTGACCGTCGATTAAAGGAACAGATCAGTCGGAGAAGTGGGTCGGATCGGTTAACGAATCATTCGGAAGTTTTAGAGGCTCTGTCACAAGCTCTGAGGAAAACAGAGGAAGCGTATTTAGATACTGCCGATAAGATGCTCGACGAAAATCCTGAACTAGCTTTAATGGGTTCTTGTGTGCTTGTGATGTTAATGAAAGGTGAAGATATTTATGTGATGAATGTTGGTGATAGTAGAGCTGTGCTTGGTCAGAAATCAGAACCGGATTACTGGTTAGCTAAGATAAGACAGGACTTGGAACGGATTAACGAAGAAACGATGATGAATGATTTGGAAGGTTGTGAAGGAGATCAATCATCTTTAGTCCCGAATTTATCGGCTTTTCAGCTCACTGTTGATCACAGCACCAATATAGAAGAAGTAAGTAAACAAAAACAATGGTATCCGTTGTTCAATGCATCTGAATTTTGTTGTTTACTTATTGCTATGTTCTTGTGGTTTCTTAGGAAGTTGAGAGGATCAGAAACGAGCATCCGGATGATGCTACCGCAGTGACGAATGAACGAGTTAAAGGCTCCTTGAAGGTCACAAGAGCGTTTGGTGCTGGTTTCCTAAAGCAGGTACGAATATTCATCGACCCTAGTCATGATATTTGAGTATGTGTGATCTCAATCTAATTACTGACACTTTATGTTATTTTTCAGCCTAAATGGAACAATGCACTTCTTGAGATGTTCCAAATTGATTACGTAGGGAAGTCTCCATACATCAACTGCTTACCGTCTCTCTACCACCACAGATTAGGGTCCAAGGACAGGTTTCTAATACTATCATCAGATGGTCTCTACCAATACTTCACAAACGAAGAAGCGGTTTCAGAGGTTGAGCTCTTCATCACATTACAACCTGAAGGGGATCCAGCTCAACACGTTGTACAAGAGCTTTTGTTTAGAGCTGCTAAGAAAGCTGGTACGGTGAAGATTCATTCTTACATTGTGTTTCTGTCCGAAAAAATCGATTATCTTAATAGATGTTTTATTTGTATGTTGTAGGTATGGATTTCCATGAATTACTAGAGATACCACAAGGTGAACGAAGACGGTATCACGATGATGTTTCAATAGTAGTGATCTCTTTAGAAGGAAGAATGTGGAAATCTTGTGTATAAAAAAACAAATCGCTATGAGCATAGACACAACAACAAATTGGTATGTTCATGGAGAAAGAGATCGATCTCTCATCAACTCTGAATCATGTACAATGTTGATAAACAGCAAATAAAATAAAAAAAAGTTTTGGCAACTATTTAGATGTCCAAGTGTATCATAAATTAGAGGTCAAATGTTTGGTTCTTTGAATGTAAGTTTCTTCCAACTACTAACTGTATGTGAATAGAGAAGTAAATGAAGGAATTGAAAGATGTTTGGTAATTGGTATGAGATAATGAGTATGTAGCAGTAGTGGTTCAAGAAGTTATTCACTTTCCCTACCATTTAAGTCACTCTCTCTCTCTCTGTTTTTTTTTTGTTTCACCAAATCTGTTGGCCTCTCTTTGTTTTTCTCTACTGTTTCCTTCCATTTCAGGGAACTTGGTTTTTATTAAATTTGGATCTTTGTGTTTTACGCAACTTCTTGTCTTTATATTCTACCCTTATGTAACTTCTTGTCTTTATGTTACACTTGGTTTACACAATATTGATTGAATATTAACTTGTTTTTTACCTTTGTTTAGCTGTCCATTTTTAGTTTCTAACCTTTTTGGTTGGCTTATTTTGACTACTTCCACAACGTATTTTTTGAATAACTGTTGTTTTGTAGTGAAGAAACAGTCCATTTTAGTGGCGTTGGGTCAACATCAACAATCAATTAACGTCCGTCTATCCAACGGCCTAATTAGCGTTTGCCTTTTGTACATCCTGCATAGTTACATCCTACAAGTAGATCCTTAGAGTTAAATGTATGTACAATTTCCAAGAATTGCAGAGCCAATATCTTGAATTGCAAGGCGTAAACCGTGGTTGGGCATGACTACTTAGCTTCAGATTGGCAAATGCTAACAATTTACCTGATTATCTAGATGAGACACTCTACTCTATTAGGTGAGAGTATTGATGAAAATGCATCAATTTACCTGCAGTATGGCACAGCTCGTTCTTCTGGAACCATGCAACTGCTCAAATTCCCTCTCAAGAGAGAGTGTTAGATCAGGTCTGTCGTTGCTGTGAGCTTCACAGCACCATAAGCCGATGTTTGCAATTAAGTTGTCCAGCCAAAAAGATTGGCCTTCTGCAAGCTGCTTTTATATCCAAAATTGAGGTTAACTTCCCCAACAGGCGGCTTTCCTGTGAGCATTTGCAAGATGATAATGCCAAATGAGTAAATGTCAGATTTAGGAGTTAAGATTTCCAAACCAACTGAACTGATCCGTGTATGTGCTTTTGGAATATATCTGCAGGCTGGTATTTAACGAAGACGCTGTAAGTGCGGATGAGGTAAGATAAATTGTAGAAAGTAAACGAGACAAGAAATTTGTTAACGAGGTTCGGTTTTTCCTACTCCCCGGGACCAAGTCCAGATTTCGATTTCACTAAAACAAGAAAGCAAATTACAACCAATTCGCAAACGCGTAAAACAAGCCCAACCCTCTTGATTTACCGCTCCCTTCTATAACGTGAAACCTTAAGGATAATTTCTACCCTTAACTAAACTCCCCTTGAGTCTAGATTTAATCAGGATAACCTAACCCTGAGCTAAACTCCCCTTGAGCCTAGACTTCTAAACAAAACCACTTGATCACACAAGCACAAAACCCGCAAAACTAAGTTGCACAAAACCGCGAAACTATGTCGCACACACCCTCTGAAAGCTCTCAATGATTTGTCTCTATGCCTCAGCTCTCTTGCTTCTCAAAGACGTTCTCAGCTCCTCCTTATATAGCCAAAACGATTTCTTAATCACCATAGGAGAAGATTTCCAATTTCCATAAGAAAAAGTAAATTTCCTTTTATACTTTTCTTTTTTCTCACCAAACTCCACTTTCATCAAGTCTTCCAAATCTCTTTAAGTCCTTTTTCCTTTGTGATTCATCCTCTAAACACGCTCCAAACATATTTTCTCAAACCTTCTAGAAACCGACTCTCACACAAAAACAGTCGCATCTTGACTTACTTCTTGAATCATTCAGCAACTCCATCAGACAAACTCTTGTATTACTTCTTGACTCATTCAACAACTTAATCAGACTGCAGCTACATCTTCAGAGGCCAATGAGAGAGCTTTTCCATATACGGATGTGATCAGTTTGGAGTCATGAAGACAGAGGGGATGCAATACCGTTTGGTAAGTACTCATACACGAGTGACCATGCTTCAGGACAATAGCCAAACATTAATTAGTGTAACGAGTATAATTTTCTGCAACACCGGCTTCCAACACCTCAATATCTGCGAAAACTCCATTTTACTAACAATAATGATCTCAACTGATATCTACTTCCATCTCACTCCATTTTTCTATTCAAACCTCCAGTATATATTTGCTAATTCTATCATTTTCTTTATTCTTACAATGTTTTTGAACTCAACAACTCTAACTCTAATTTGAACTCATATCAATACACCATCACCATTATTCTCCCATGTTTGAGTCAAAATACGGTTAAATACTAGTTTTAAGTTTTTCTCCCAAATGCAAATAGATGCCCATATTTACATATTCTTTTGTAGCAAGTTAACAGAATTTTTTTATATATTTGTTGATAAGTTAAAAGACTACTAAATTCTTTTAATTAAACTAAGACTGTTTAGTAAGATGTTTTCAACTTATGCGATCATATATCATGTAATCCCATCCCATATATTTTTTCTTCCCAAATTCTTTTCTTTTCCTATTTTAAATTATTTACTCATGTAAAAGGAGAAAACATAAAAAAAAAGTGTAAGTAAGAAAAAAAAGTACAGTCAAAAAAGCATTTCAAATGATTTTAGCCCTACCGTTAAAAAGTGGGACTAAACACAAAAGTTGGATACAATGGATGGATATACAAATCTCTCCCTGCATTGTTTTCCGTGCCAATCTTTTCTTTAACGTTTTCTCCATTATGTTGTATCATTGGAAAATTATTGTTTTCATTGCAAATTAATACCAATACAACGTTGCTTCGAAATAAATTTGTTAAATTGCACATAATCAATCAGACGCCAAAGTTGTCACATTAGACCCTACTACTCACAGAACCCAAGAGATACTCGTCCCCTACTTAATTAGTTACAGTAAAGCTGTAATCAGTAACCAAACTAGTGCAATACAATACAAATAGGTTGGTTTTAGCTTGTTGTGTATTATGCATATAAACATTCATATCTGGAGATCTGCCTACTAGTATACTTTTTGCTAAATAGGTTTAAGAAAAAATACGTAAGTACGCTACAATCCATGCAGAAAGTTTATTAATCTTGATTTAATAATACCTACGTAGACATATACATGTTTCATGTTTGCATATACATAATTAAGGAATATTTATAGAGGATCGTGCATTCACACAGACACACAGATTCGTACAGGAAGACTGTTAAAGAAAAAGAAGCTCCTAAAAATATGAGAAAAAAAAGTATTTTGGGAGTTTTAAAACATAGCATCCAGAGAGACACGGAATTATATGATCAAGTTCCTTTGTCAGCAACAACCCTTTTACTTTATGTACAATCCTTATTTATATATCATAAGAACAATCAATAAACGATATATCATTAGTAATGTTCCACTTCGTTTTGGTAAGGGAAACATATATATAGGCCATCATAATTTAGTTTTAAACGGAAATTTGAGTAGAATTAGATAGAACAAGCAAATATTATATATTTAATGAAACTCAGTCTAAAGAGTATAGAAATTGGACTGTTACACACATGTATTGAGACATATATAGCAACTTCAGAATCAGATCAACCATGAAATCACGCAATACAAACAAATCGAAGTTTTAAACCACAATCTCTAATTAAGATACCTTTTAGTTTGTCCTAGTACTTCTCCACGATCATCGTCCTGAGCATATACTCTGCATGCAGTTAATCCTGACCGTTCGTAGTCCTTTTAATCAATCTTCACGTCGTAACATACATTAATGATCCGACAAAAACACATAAATCTCACAGGAGATCATTAGAAGGACCCGAGAAATCCGAACCGGGCCAAAAGTACTGATTTGTTTGATTCCCAGGAGACGTCAAACCGGAGACCGGTCTAGATAAGTTAGCCAAATTAGGTTGTTCTTCCATCTTTACGGGAGGCGTCTGGTAAACCCTAGAATCAACCATTGAAGTAGAAGAACCAGATATCCCAACGTTGTTTCCGATATTACCCTCGTTCTGGAAAGCGTATAGCCCCGTTGTTGGATCGAAGAGAGCAAAGTGACTCAAGGATCCAACGGATGCCATCAGGTTGTTTTCGTTGTTGTTGTTGTTTTCATGAATGTTTCCCGTCATCGGAGTTGAAGTATTTCGTCCATTTCCAACATGGAGAAACCCTAAATCGTTCATCAAACTCGAACCGATTTGGTGAGATTGGTTGTTGCTATTAGTAGCGGCTAAGTTCAAACCAATACCTCCGAGTTGAGTGAGATTGTAAAGAGTTGGTGAAAACGGGAACTGATGATTTGTCCTTAGCTGTCCTGAGCTAGGACTTGGAGCGTTGGCCGAGGAAGAAGACTGTTTGGACGAAGAAGAAGAAGATTTTGAATTTCCATTTTTTCCCTTCTTGTTATTCCTCCGGCAGCCTCCACCGACAGGGACGTTTCTCAGGGCGCCGCCTTGTGTCCAGTAGCGACGGCAACCTTTGCAGAAGTGACGAGGCTGAGTGAGGTTGTAGTTGTTGTAGTAACAGAACTTAGTGTTGCTAGAGTCGCATCGAGGACACTTTAGGGGTCCCTCAGGTGGAGGAATTTTGGCTTGCCTCGCTCTCTCCGCCATCGATCTCGACGGAAGACCAGCAGAGGTAGCGACATATTGGTGGCTAGGGTTAGGGTTTGCTTGGAGAGGTGGAAGTTGGTGAGAGAGTAGTCCGTGGCCACTAATTATACTTCCATTTTCGAGAAGCTGGTGCTGATGATGATGCTGATGATTCGAATTCGTAGGCTGCAAAACCAAACCAAACCAAAAAATAATCCAAATTAAAGAAAGAACAAGAAACCCAAATTCTCAGCACTGGTGTAATAATTTATAGAAATATTATACGTATTTATAAAGGAAGAAATACCATATATATAGATGTTGGAATTTTAAAGAAAGCGGATTAGAAAAGAAAATGGGAATAGGAATATCTTTTGGAAATGAATCAAAATTATTACTAAAACGAATCAAAACATCAATGAAGAATTTAAGAGAAAAATTACAAAAAGAGAGAAAGAGGAGAGAACATTTAGTAATGGAAGATCAAAGAAGTAAACCTGTGACCAATTAGATGAGAAAGCCATTGTTCCTTCTACCCTTTATTATCTCTTTCTTCTTCCTTCTTTATTAAAGTTTGATGGATCTTTAAGGGAAAGAACTCCAGCAAAAAAAAACTTGGTGGGGGAATCAAAAATAAGAAAGGCAAAACGAAAGAGAGGAAGCAAGATGACCAAAGAGAAACGCGAAGAGAGCACAAAATCAAAAAGGAAAGTGAGAAGAGAGAAGGAGAACAAAGACAAATTAAAGGGAAACAAATGCTTTTTTAACGAGAAAAAGAAAAGGAATTTCGGTTCTTTTTATGCTTGCTATATATTTGTATAATTCCACTCTCATCTCTTCATGTGTATACGCGTCTATACTTCATTTATGGTTTATTTTTATTTGCGATTCCCATTTTTAGGGTTTGAGTGGGGACGTTTCTTCGCCTATAAGGTTCCTCTCCTAGGCGTCTATGGAATAATTGTATATATATATAGACGAAGAAAAAGTTCTATGAAATTATACCGGAGTTGTAAGAAAAAACTATCTACTCCATAAGATATTGGTGAAGAAACATAACATATTAACATATATATGTTTTCAGTATATAACAATATCTTACAAAATTTTATAAGTTTTGTTTTTTAAAAAGAATTCAAAACTCTTACAATTTTTAGAAGCACGTGTTTATCCTATAATAACATTGTTGGTTTTCACATTTTCATCATCTATTTTTGTTTTCTTATCTAAACCATATAAATTAATCACAAAATGACAAAATCTAAATTAATTGTAAACCGCTGTCATAAATTTCATTGAAACTCAGAAATCTTTAATCACAAAATCTAAATCATAAGTCTGAAATCTTAAGTCCACACTGCCGTTTATTCCTTATGGAAGCTCACCACCATCAAACACTCAACTTCTATCCCTCTCTTCCTCTTTCTCTCACGTTATACGTGCCTCTCTCTAGAGACATTTTTGTCAAAATAAACAAAACGAATTAGTGTCTAATGAAAAAGATGGATGTGTTATTATTGGGGCAAATTAAGCTTATGAAAAGAAATAATTTCTTATAATTATTCTTTATAATTTAGACGGCAAGCCCCATATGCCATATAAAGCACATCATCATCATTCTCTATTACACTTTTGGTGGGATCTTGTCTATTATGCAATGGTGTATTTTTTTTTTTTTTTGTGGCATCTAGTAGCATATATAGCTAAGTCTCAGATTTAACAGCATGTCATCATAAAGTAATTTACATAACTCAAAAACATGTTTTGTAATTCTACATACCAAAGGATCTTCGCTTCACCTAAGAGAAGCGTGTGATGAAGTGTGTTTTAACGTTTGTTTACATAATAAATCATGAATGTGTAGTTAATATTGGGCGGAAACACATTCATCATTACAAATTTACAACAATTCAACTTAAACGAATGGATGAAAGTTAATAATTGTTTAAACGATTTTTCCTGTATTATTATTTTATGAAAACTAAAGTATAGAAGAAATTATCCAACATCACCGGTCTTAATTCTTCTAGTAGATAATGAACTTTGGTTTTTAGAGACAAAAAGAAAGAGTCGCTCGTTTCGGATTACAACTTTTATTTATTGGTCCAAAATATTGTGTAACAAAACGTACTACTTGTTATAAGAGCTCTCCATTTTGCAGTTTGTCTCTACATTTTCTCTACTTTAATTTTTCTTTTTTTCTCTTATCTCTTCATTGATCACTCGTTTCGTTTATAAATTGTTAAACCTCTTTTTCAGAAAGAGACTGCCAAAGATAGCCTACTTGCTACATTATTATAACACACTGCTTCGAGTGGGGCAAAACTCTCCACCGCGAATAATCTAAAATTTTAGTTCTCTCAATAAATTAAAAAAAAAAAAAGACGTTCATGCATGAACCCATCAAGAATACCTTTCCATATACCAAAACCATCATGTACACTCTTATCGTTCATTTGAGATATTTCCGGCTTTTCCTTGGAAATTGTGTTTCTTAGATGTGTGATATCATCCTGCTGATATCATCTATGCCAATTTTACGTATAAAATTATATAGTCCATCTGTTTAAATATATAAGTGTTGTTTCAAGAAAAGTTAAATTTGTTGGATCAATATAATTTTCTTACATCACAAATGTTTAATGTACCCTGATCAAAATTAACTAAAAATATGAAATAAAACAAAATTTCAAGAATCATATTTTTATAAATTGCGTGATTAGCTTTGCTAAGGATCTCAAATATACACAAGACCAAAATCTTGATAGATTATCGATTCTATAATTGAATTTCCGCATGTGTGGTGGTGTCTTTTTCTGGGATATATATACGATCTTGTTCCAAATTCAGTTCCAGCAATTTTCTTGAAGCTCTGGTGTTAATAACCTATGTAAAATTGCTCTATATATTATGTAGATCTCATATTTCTTTTCTCTGTGATTCTTGCTGTCCAATATTATTGCTACTATTCATACGGTTACAGTTGCACGTATCATAATATTCATAAATAAGATTTTATCCCACAAAAGGTAAAGTTATAACTAACATATAATAACGAAAGGGTTATTGAAGGATCCATCACTTTTATAGAGCCTTTTTGATATTGATGCTACACAATTGTAAGTCATGTATGCCGCTGCTCACGCCAATATCCTGATTACAATTCATAATTTAGACAAAAGATTCTTCTCTTTTTGTTAAACATAGAGAAAAAAACAATCTCTTCAGTCTTCACATATATGTATCTATACAAAAGGTTATTAGTACCCAAGAATGACTCGCTCTGATCTCTTTTTTTCTTCAGTCACAAATGACCCTTTTTTAGGGTTGTATAAAGAATGTGCTCTCTTTAACAAAATGATATAAATACTTTCATTCAAATTGGTAATAGTATATAATAGAGAAAAAAAAACGTGGAAGAAATGATAAGGACAGAAAAGAAAAGTAAGAAACATTAGTGGTGTGGGAATCTGATTCCTTGTCAATTAATGGCACACCGTCCCGCCCTCCCTCCAGCTTTTCCCTTATTGAGCTTTTTTTTTTTTATATCTTCTGTGCAAAAGCTTACCTCTTAATCTCTGTACCTGTAAATTACACACACACAAATACGTATAACACGTGCATGAACATACATACATACACATTCCAGCTGGAAAATAATCGAACTAGAGCTTAGAGTTGCAGAGACTAGTGACGATGATATCTGATCTTGAATATAAACTACTAGAATCATAAGGTCTTCTAACTTTATTTTGGTTTATATCTTTTCCCTTTGATATTAATCAAGGGACATGTATATCTTTTGTTGCATTCGTACGACTCAAACTTTTTATCAAACAAAGTTGATTTCATTGTTTCCAATATATGTCCTTAGAAAGACACATAATTGTGTGTATAGAGAGATCCACATATGGTTTTGTATGTAAGTAATCAGTTTCAATGAAACAATCAGATTAAATATTTGTGACTTTTGGAAGTAACCGCCAAAATCTATAGACTAATTAATAGAGGCATTTAAGCATCAATCTGATCTCTTTATGAATATACCAGCAAAAGACATTACACATCAAAAGAAACGCATAGAGTATATGATATTTTTGGCAAACACCTTCTTAATTAATGATACAATTTTGTAGTTATGGTCTATTTTTGGACTTACCGCAGTTGATGCTATTCAAGTTATTTATCCGATTTTGCTCACGTTTAAACAGAGTTTGATCTGCAGATCATACAAAAGAAACAAGTATCGAATACAAAATGAGTAGCAGATTTAATGCCAAACATGATTTTTGTCTGAATTTATATATATATATTAGTCTTTCTTCTGATTATGATGAGATCAATCTAGTTCACATAACACTATTTCGAGCTAAAGAACTCCCAAATATATATACACTTGAAAGCAAACTCTTTTTCATTGGTGAAAACTTCACCACTCCCACGAATCTCACTAAATTTTTTGGAATTTTAAGAACTTAATCCAAAAGTCCAGTTTTCTCCTCAGCATCAACGAGTGAGTTAGCAGAGCCAGTACGAGGCCCGCTTGTGGAGAAGCTAAGCGATCTGCTCAGCTCATTTTGCCAGAAATGGTTCCTCAAGGCTTTAAGCTTCGGGTTAACTGTTGAGAAGCTCGGATCCGACAGCAACTCTTGCATCGCTGTCTTTCCCTCTAAGAGACTCACCACCTGCGACATTGTAGGCCTTAGCGTCGGTGACGCGTTAGTGCACATCAGTGCCACGTTCAACATCAGCATGGCTTCCTCTTCTGAGTAATTTGAGACTAACGTTGGATCAACCAGCTCTAGTAAGCTTCCCCTCTCTTGCAAAACGTAAGCCTAAATGTATTTGAGATGCAAAAAAGTTTGATACTTTAGTTTATCATATAACTCAATCACACTTATTAATTGGATGAAAGGTATGAGATTGTTTACCCAATCAAGAAGGTAAACAAAGTCCTCGGTTGGCCTAAAGTTTGTGTTACTCTTTCCACTCACGATTTCGAGTGCAACGACGCCGAAGCTATAAACATCCGCTTTTTCAGTCAGGTAGCCACGCATCGCATACTCGGGAGCCATATAACCTCTGCAATGCAAATGAAAATATCAAAATTCTGTTTTTGTATTCTTAAGAATCCTCTGCTTGAGCTTATGAGTGAAAAGAGCCTTACATAGTTCCTGCAATACGAGTGCTGATGTGTGTATTTCCATCATCGTTCAGCTTTGCCAAACCAAAGTCAGAAATTTTAGCGTTGAGATCCTTATCGAGTAACACGTTGCTTGCCTTTATGTCTCTGTGTACAATCTTTATCCTAGATTCTTCATGGAGAAATGTCAGTCCTTTAGCTATCCCCAAAAATATCTTCTTCCTTGTTGACCAGTCTAGTTTCAGTCTAGAACTCTCATCCTTTCCTACAAAAGAAGATCACCCACACAAACATTCTGAGCAGTAATTCCACCGGATACTTCCGCAGTTGCAAATTCAAAGAAAAGAACATACCAAAAAGCGCACGAGATAGACAGTTATTCTCCAAATACTCATACACCAATATCAACTGGTTTCCTTCAACACAACATCCATATAGCTTCACAAGATTTGGATGTTGAAGAGCTGAGATCATTCCTATCTCATTTACAAACTCGCGATTTCCCTGCCTCGATTTTGCAGACAATTGTTTAACGGCAATTAATTTTCCCTCAGATAATTCACCCTGCACCAAGAGAAGGACCACTTTCTCAATATCTCTTCCAAAATGTACACACCTTCTGCAAACAATTTCGTATAAAGCTAAGAATGTTGAAGAATTCAAGTGAATTACCTTGTAAACAGAGCCAAATCCACCTTCACCAATCTTTTTTGCTACATCGAAATTATCAGTGGCTGCTTTTATCTGCCGTA